CATCTGGCCCAATGCTTGATTTGGATACGCAACACTGTCAAACATGGCATCCCTATGCTAGTAATAGTCAAGGAGCTATTTATGGTCACTCTAAATCATTGTCAAACAATGGGGTTGGCCCCAAACACACTGTAGGGAGCACATCCCAGTTCCTTATTATTTACTAACCCCCATTGGTTATTATTGATATGGGGCCATCATGCTTGACTGTGTCTTGTACATGACTAGTTTGCATGTGGTTATGAGAGCCGTGATTATGGGTGTAATGATTTAACACCAGCAAGTGTTAATGCTGCTATAGAAAGTAAAACCTACAAGATCAGTATTATAAATATTGGAGGGAATTCCGTTCCCCATTATGGTTCTGCTGATATTCAGTGTTTGCAAAGTTAATTTTTCAAAAAGGGGGGCACATTTGACCCCATAGCAGTGGAGATACTACAAAAACTAGTGACTACCTAGTAACTGGGAATGGGAAAAAAGCCATTTTGCATTGAGCTGGACATTGCAACTTTCAGTATGTTATGTTAGCCTGATGGTTCTCTCAAAAAAACTATTTCTTTTGCAATTATTTTAAAGTTCAACTTTATTTTTATTGGACTATATTTCCATCTCAAACCTGCAATAATAACAACACATGCACCTTTATTACTGAAACTTGGAAGAAGGGCTTAGGATGGTCAGAATGAAAGTGAATCAGCCAGAGACCAGCATGGCTGGATTCAGGGAGGCAGGCAGCTGTTTGCAATCTATCTGACAATCACGGTCCTCCTGAGCCATGGTTCCACAGTCACCCCACTTCACTGTACATTCAAACCAGAGAAACATTAGCCCTGTTATATTAGACCCCGATTCACAAGCAAAGATTTCCTTTTATTGCCATAAGATTTGTCTCTCCGCTGGGGGAAAAAAGGATAGTTGCAATCCCGTATTCCCTTGTCATGCTAGCGGTGAAATTATTCTCCTCGCACAGCAATTTACAAGGTGTTTTCAATAGCTTCAGAGCATCGTGAGTGGACCAAGTCTTCTTGGAATGGAAATGTGAAACTTCTACAAAATAATTCTAGAGATGCATTTGGCTTGACTTGTTATCTTAGTTTATGATGATTTCTAGACTTTAAAAAACCCTTTATTTGTATGGATTTAACCTTTTTTGATGACCTTTTGCCATAGACAAAAAATTACGTGAGATGCAATAAAATTGACCAGTTTCACAGTACTTAATAGCAACTTTCTATCAGTGGTATGGGGACGCGGGTGGCGCTGTGGGTAAAACCTCAGCGCCTAGGCCTTGCCGATCGCATGGTCGGCGGTTCGAATCCCCGCGGCGGGGTGCGCTCCCGTCGTTCGATCCCAGCGCCTGCCAACCTAGCAGTTCAAAAGCACCCCCGGGTGCAAGTAGATAAATAGGGACCGCTTACCAGCGGGAAGGTAAACGGCGTTCCATGTGCTGCGCTGGCTCGCCAGATGCAGCTTGTCACGCTGGCCACGTGACCTGGAAGTGTCTGTGGACAGCGCTGGCTCCCGGCCTATAGAGTGAGATGAGCGCACAACCCTAGAGTCGGACACGACTGGCCCGTACGGGCAGGGGTACCTTTACCTTTACCTTTATCAGTGGTATGGCAGTAATTAAGAACTGCTAATCACAATGGCTGTATCCTGCCTCCAGTATCAGACAGAGGCAGTGTTCTTCTGCATAACAGTCATTGAGGAGCAACATCTGTTGCCATTGCATCCCAAATTCTAGATCCATTTTAGACCGTGCTGAAGATTTTGTTTGTATTGAGATACCTTTTTTGCACTAAGGGGAGCTTTCCTGGTTATGGACTGGGTGGCTAAATAAGAATAAGAATAAGAATTTTATTATTTATACCCTGCCCATCTGGCTGGGCGACTCCCAACAGAACACTAAAAACAGAATAAAACTTCAAACATTAAAAACTTCCTTAAACAGTGATGTCAGCCATTTATCTAATGGTCATTAGTTGTTTTTTTTTTAAATTCAAACCAGATTAATCAAAGATTAGAATAAAAGCAGAGCAATAACTCTATGTGAAAGTTGCTTTTCTTCCCAATGATAATTCTTGTTCAGGATATCCTATGGCTTTCAGACATTGGAGATATTCCAAAGATTTGCTTTAGGCATCCCAAGTTACTGGAGCAGAGCTAGTAGGATGCCTTAAGCTCTTTGAAAGCGGATTCTCATGCTATCTCACAAGCTGCCTTGGAAAGTACTTTCCATTTCAGATCTATCCCCAGTCATTTCCTGGTTTTCAGCACTTGTCTCTGCAAAGTAGCTGGTTGTCTGAAGCTTAGCAATGGAAGGATCTGCCAATTTTGGTTCTTTTCGTTTCTCCTTTCTCCTGTCTTAAATTCAGATCACCACATTACTGCACCCATTTGTAATTTTAAAGGAAAAAAATCCCATGAAGTTTATCAGCATATTAGTTTGAATTTCTCCTAATAAATTATTTGCGGTTTTAACTCATGTACACATTTTTGCAAGCATTTCCCCCAGTATAATGCATTTTAGATTTTCTCAAATATATTCATTTTTATGCACAGTTTCCCCTAATACATGTATTTTGGCTGGAGAACTGCATCACAAAATCCAGATTTCAAAGGACGACTGCGGTTCTCACAGTGTTTAGGGAACAGCAAACTCGATAGACTGGGCTTTAAATGCGGAATCAAATTTCTCCCCCCCCCCCCCCCCGCTGGAGAGCTCACTCTGCTTTTTTGGTGAGCACAAGTAAGTGCAAGAAGGTTTTAACTGACTGGCTGCCCTTCAGCATCACTCCGATGCCCTGGGCATCTCAGGTGTGCTTATGGGGCTATCTGAGATGGTGCAGTATGGTTCAATATAGCTCTAGGCCACACAATCCGGGGGCTGGGGGGCGAAATCTGAATTGTGCTACTATAGCTATAATTCATATTGAAAATCAAATTTATATCTTCATGCTGCTTCGGAACTAAATAATAGAAATATTAAGTGCCCTGCAAAGAACATTATTAATTGGGGATGGAGGAAACACCTTTTCAGTTGCGGAAAAGTTATTCAGAAAAGTATCTGCATAACTTGACACTAACATTTAATTGGGTTTTAATTTTGACTTGGAAACAAGTTGTTTCCTACTTAATGTGCAATGCATTGTTAAAGTGTTTGTCATGAAGCTGTGTGGCCACTAGATGTCATTCATGTAATCTCGTATGTTACAGCAAGCTTTTCTGGTTTGAGTTCCAAAAAGTTAATAAAGGCAATGTCAGAATTACCAGAATTATTTTTATTAAAATATATATATATACATGCTGATAGAGTTTGACATGATATATTGTCATCAAATAAAACTTATTCTTCTGCTGATTTTTTTCTTTAAATGTCAGTCAGCATTAGAATTTTGCACAGTTCCTCTTCTTATGCAGTCGAACTGAACCAGTTTCTACAGTGCCCAACAGACCCACACAAAGAGACGATGGCATTTGATCTTTAAACGCAGCGCAAGAGCTCACCTCACTTTCAATGCTTGCAGTAAGGTCTGAGTATCTAAGCTGTGGAAGGTGCATGCAGAATCAATCAGCCTGAAAAGATAATTTACATGATTTAACTGACTGGAGCTAGAGATGGCTTGGTGCAGCTATCACATAATAGACAGAAACTTCAGTATAAGCAGAAAGAGGGCTTACTTTGTGCTAATTAAACCCTGCTGAAGTCAAACTGAAGACCAGTTTCAATGAAATTCTGCTTTGACATGAGACTTTATATTTTTTTCCAATCCCAACAACATGGGTGACCGCTGAACTGTTGTTACTGTGGAAAGTTTTAGGCTAAAAATCCAATTTCTGACATCTTTGAAAAGTCTGTTGTGCCATTAGTCTTGACTGGAGCTGCCTTTTAAAACTGTTACCGCCAGATGCTAATAAGGCCGGGGTCATGTTAACATTATCATTGTAATTCTCAAGTGCTTGAAAATCCGGTGAAAAGACACTCTATGCAGACTTTTAGGCCCATGTTTAGGAGTGTTGACAAATTCTGCTCTGCCTTTCATAGTATATTGTAGAAGACATTCATTTCTTTATCATGAAAAAGCGTGTTCTCCTTCATGGAGAGCACGTGTTGCGGTGGGGGCCGCCAGGACACTCCAAAGTTGGGGGCGGGCTAATTGTTCGTTGGCCACTGATGCGATTGGGGCTTCCCTTCTTGTTGGGAAGAAGTTAATGTTGCCATTTGTTGATTGACAGCCAGAAATGCTAAAACTCCTTGCACGAGGCTAGGGCTTCCTCTTTTCGCCCGTGCATCCGATTGCCCGTCCCCCCCTCCCTAGAATTAGGGTTGTTCACTTTGACCTTGCTATGCCTGTCATGGGGTCGTCTGCTCTTGGGGCAGGGGCCCGGTAGGAATTTTGTCCATCTGGCTGATTGGCTGGGGCCATTTGGTTTTTGCCTACTGCGTAGCAAATTGTCACAACTTGTAAGGTTGCAGTTAGGCATTGGTTTATGGTTTGGTTGGTTGAGGGGCATGAATTGGCTGTGCCTGCGCCTCTAATACTGCTGCTGCAAGGGATTCCGTTAAAGGAATTGGGAGCTAACTATTGCTTGTCCACTTTGTCAAGGGGGCTCGGGCCATAGCAATGAGCTCCTGGTTGCATTTGGGGTGAGGGCAGGTTCCCTGCTCCGCGTAACCCCCAAGTGTATTCCCCTATTCTGACTTTCGCATCGTGCAGAATGTCAGTCTGTCCCCCATGGTGGGGGCAGATAGTCGCAACCAATGCCTAAGCAACCACTTACAAATTTGTATTTCAATAAAGTTGTGGCCAAAATTATGCCAAAAATCTTAAACAAAAAATTCTGTGTGATGTGTGAGTTATTGGGGTGGCCCTGGGGACCCCGACACGCAATATTTTACTATATTAAAAGTTGTTTTAAAAGCGCAAGCAAAGAAGCTGTAGTAATAGATGTGACTCCATATTCCACCCAGCAACCTGTTGATATCTATATCATGATGGATAGCTTAGTCAGTAGAGCATGAAACTCTTAATTTCAGGGTTGTGGGTTCAAGCTCCACATTGGGCAAAAGATTCCTGCATTGCAGGGGCTGGACCTCATGGTCCCTTCCAACATTACAATTCTGTGATTCACATCATGTCAGTGTAAGCAGCGTAGAGATGGAAACCAGCTTAGCAAGCCGTCTCCACTGTAGGGGGTTACTGGGTACATGGAATCTAGGATTCTATGACTCATTCTATGGTTTTATGATCAACTTTGGTTTATCTGCATGTCCCTTTCCATAGTAAACTGTGTTGAAAGTGGCTCGCCACATCAAACAGTCCCACACAATTCTTTTCTGTAATTTCCTACCTATGACGACACCTCTGAATCTTCTGCTGGTATGTTCTTTCAAAAACATGCAAACACATAAAGTTTTATGTCCCTTTCGTTCCCTCCCCAAGTGTGAAGGTCTTGTGTTTTGAGATCAGCACTTACATTTGTACAATCTAAAGCGTCGGCCTCATAATCTGTAAAACTGAGAATATCAAGTTTACTACGATGGAATGTTTTTTTCGGAAGGCTACTGGCCTAATACCCAAGACTCTGCAGTCATGAGCCACAGGGAGAACTAAAAATGAGAAAGCTTGTTGAGCTAGAATGTGGTTCTAAATCAAGGCTACCTTGACCTGCCAAAGGGTCTGGAACAGTGTGTGGATGTAACATGTGACTTGATGTTTAGTGTATGCTCCTGGGCACCTAACTGTAAATATTAAACAGGCTAAGGGGCAAACTAGGAAATTCTGCTTTCAGGCTCTAAAACTTTGCTTCATGTTGTCTCCACCGGCCTCCTTTTCTCTCTGTCTCCCCATCTCCCTTCTATTTCACAGCTGGTCATATAAAGTAATTGGGTAGATCAGGTAAAGGCAACTAGGGGGAGATGCACTGGAAACACAGCAAATCCATGCAATGTTTCTGGAAAGCAGAAACAACATCAAGTTAAAACAGAGCGAGTATTTTCTTTATGTTTAAAGTTTCATAAAGCAAACGATAATAGTTGAGAGCAAATTAGTTTTATAGATAAGATTTCTTTTACCAATACTTAAATGAGCATGGTTGGGATGTTGCCAGGATATTACATATCGCACAACAAGATTACAGAGAAATCCCAGGCATGCACCAGAGAACCATTAAATTTAACATTTCTAAAATATATTTTCAGCAGCTCAGGACTTGTTTGAATATTGCTGCCACCTGTAGTCCCCCCTCCCAGCTTCCTAATGGTTAGAAACCAACCAAATATAAGAACTTCCAAATTTTATTAGTTTATAAAATGTTTTAACAACCATGCCCACTGTATTTCTTGTGTTAGAGGAAACAGAGAATCTTCAGATTAGTTAGTTCCTTCTTTGAAAATCAAATCTTCAGAGAACATGGACCAGAAATTTCAATTTTGAGTTCTTTGAGAATTCTTGGGTGGGTGCCATTCAGACCTGGCAATTTGTCAGTTTTTATTTTGTCTATTAGGCCTACATCTTCATTTCTCATCACCGCTGTCTTTCTTTCTTCTTCAGACTCACCTCCTGCAAAAGTTAGTTCATACAGTAGGATCTGCTCTCCACTGTGAAGACAGATGCAAAGAAATCATTTCGCTTCTCTGAAAGCTCTTTATTCTCCTTCACAACTCAACTTTGACTCCCTTGTCATTCAAGGTCCAACTGCCCGTAGATGGTTTCCTGCTACTAATACATTTAAAGAACTGCTTGTCGGTCTTAATGTTTTTATTTCTTTTTGTTCTCTTCATTTGGACAAGACATCCATTTTTGAAGGAAGCCTTCTTGCCTCTAACATCTTCTTTGACTTCGTTCATTAACGAAGCCGGTGTTCTCTTGGTCCTCATTGTACCTTTCCTGAACTTCGATATAAATTCATGTTGAGTATCTAATATTGCAGTCTTAAAAAAGCATTTTGAGGTTTTTTGTCCCTGTTGATTTTGCTTTTCAACTTCCTTTTTACCAGCCTCTTTTGAAATCAAATGTGACCATTTTGGGTTTCCTTGGCAATTGGCCATTTACATGTATATTTAACTTAACAGCACTAGGGACACTGATGCCAGTTGGTTCAACAACTCTTACACCATGCACCAGGTCCTGGGCATCACTCAAGGTCTGCCTGGCCCTGTATGGGGAACCAGCAGCATTTCAGAGAAAGCTACCTTGGAGGTCCTGACTTTCAGCCTCCCACCCAGCCCCCTTAACTTGGCTTCCAGGATGTAAAGTTACATTAAACAGATTGGATAGTAAACTTTTGGGGAAGAGAGTTTGGGAACCATCTTTAGAGAGGATAACATCCTGGGGCAAAGAGGGATGTAAACATTATGACAACATGTAGCTTATAAAATGCTGCTATACTGATTTACCTTGCAGGATTTGCTATGATGATTCTTCCTATGATTTCTTGCTTGCTTGCTAGCACAAATGTGTATTTGAATTGTTCGTACCTTTGGTATTTGATGACAGTGCAGTCCAAATGTAGAATGTTACTAAAGTTAAGAAAAGTGTCTCAGGCCGTCAAACCAATACTAGCTTAGTATTGTCTACACTTGATTGACAGTGGCTCTTCAGGATTATTTCCCAACCCTACCCAGAGATAGAAGCGGATGAATCGAGGAGATTTTGCTTACAAAGCAGATGCCAAAGCTCTAAGGGTCATTCTATATCAACTTTTTTACCTCATGTCATCTAATTTTCTTAATATTTTGTACACTTGTTGAATGATCAAAACTAAGTTTAAATCTAAAATTTTAATTTTTTATCTCATCCCGTTTTTGAGTTTTGATGGTTTGCAATTTTAAAAAAAATTAATGACAATTTTGGCCTTGCCGGACTACACAAAAACCTTAAAAACTCAGGCCAGAACTGAGATGGTGTGATGGCCTGGGATTTGGACTCAGAGGCTGAACCTGAGGAATCCCAGCCTGCACAGGAGTCCCCGCCTCCAGAACCAGCTGAGCCGGGGCTAGGGCCTGAGCCCGAAGGGTCCTCACCTGTGCTGGATCCTCAGGTGCAGGCACCAGCTGAGTCTTTTCTGGCCCCTGAGGTGATGGAGGACCCATTGCCTGCAGATGCTCCACTCTCAGCCCTGTCAGGGGAGGCTGAGGTTGCCTCTGGGTCCGGTAACCCTCCAGCCTCTCCTGAACTGCAGAGGCTCAGGGCAGAAAGGCGGAGGGAACTAAGTTCCTGCAGGAGGAGTGCTTGCTTCCAGGCCAGGAGAGGCGAGTCCCTTTGGACTGGGGCCGCCCTATGCCTCGGGGCAGATAAAAGCCAGCCAGCCCCAGTCCCAAGTTGCGGGAGCAACGTTGCTAGCCTGTTCCAGCCTGCACCCTGTCCTGCTCTTCTGTAATATCAGTTACTTCAGGCATTTCTTTAGAAAGTTATGCAATTTAAAAGGTTCCTGAAAAGCTAGTCAGGCTTTTCTTTTAAAAATGTGTTCGAAAGCAGAGTGATGCAGTTCTATTGATAGAATTAACGCTTTGAAATAATTCTTGTTAGTACATTACAAAAAAATGCATATCAAACAAAATTATGACACTTTCCACAGCAGTTTTGTTTGATATGCATTTTGTTGTAATGTACTAACAAGAATTCTTCCTCTTTCTTCCTCTATCCACTTTACTTCTGCTTATGTTTGGTTTTTCAGGTCCTCTATTCTGGGTTGGGACGTGAGTGGTGCTGTGGTCTAAACCACAGAGCCTAGGGCTTGCCAATCAGAAGGTTGGTGGTTCGAATCCCCATGACTGGGTGAGCTCCCATTGCTCGGTCCCTGCTCCTGCCAACCTAGCAGTTCGAAAGCATGCAGTGCAAGTAGATAAATAGGTACTGCTCCGGCGGGAAGGTAAACGGCGTTTCTGTGTGCTGCTCTGTTTTGCCAGAAGCGGCTTCGTCATGCTGGCCACATGACCTGGAAGCTGTATGCCAGCTCCCTCGGCCAATAAAGCGAGATGAGCGCCGCAACCCCAGAGTCGGACACGACTGGACCTAATGGTCAGGGGTCCCTTTACCTTTACTCTGGGTTAATGAGGGTACACATAGGAAGGTGATGGATGGAAAGTAAAAAAGGGAGAGGCCGGAAAGGTGAGAGCTGGGAGGGTTTACCTGCTTCTATGTGAGACAACTACTACTGATAGAGGGCTTTCTGCTTTTATTCTTTCTCTTTTCTGTTGATTTATTTTCATTATTATTTAGGTTAATCTGTACTCTGAGCTGAAAGTTTCAATAATAATAAAAAGTTGGGTGCTTTGGAAGGTGTCTGGGCTTGTCACTATCAGGCACCCCAAGCCAAAGGGCACTTTGTAGTCTTCATGATTTAGACATTTAAAAGAACCCTGCTGAAAATGTAACTAATTCTGATTATTCTAAGGTGGTTGTTTTTGTTACTCTTACTCATTATTGTGTTGGATCGTGAGGTGTGTGTGATGCCCCAATGGATGGAGGTGACATCGAAATTCTTCCCCGCCAACCTCAAATGCACCTTCCCCATGGCGGGCAGACGTCGTGATGAGACGCAACAGCTGCAAGCTCTCCCCTGCTCTGAGGCTGGCGGCACCAGGAGTGGGAGCAAGTGGCAGAACATAGTCTGGGATCATTGTGTTGGCAGCAGATCCCAGCTATGCCATCTGCCTGGATTGTAGGAAACAGCTGAGCAGGGGGAAGTTTTCAGAGCTCTGCACCACCTCACTTCATGACGCACCTGCTCAGACAGCACCGATCCCTTTTTCTTGGGGAAGAGTCAGAGAAGTTGGACAAGAGTGGCAAAGAGGCATGTGGGGCAGAGTGAGAACTCCCCCTTTCGCTTTCACATTTCCTTCGTGTCCAAGAATTAGTTTAGACGGGTGGCTAGGGAAGGTTTTGAGTCCTCTGCACCAGCTTTCTCCTCAAATCAAAACATTGATTTAGCGTCCATAGACAAAATCACAAGAAGGAAAATGAATCCATTTGACTTCTCTCCTCACCAGATTCATATTTAAAGGTGCCCAGCACAAAGGAAAAATTTGTCTGAAATGTCTTCTGTTTCAAACCGAGTGCCTTCCC